TGTTCAGCATGATGTCAAAGATGATCTGACTGTCAACTCGCGAGCCATGAGCAGTATCGCCGGCAGGCAGGGGCGGGGGTTGGGGGGAAGGGGGGATACCATGGGGTGGGGGGGGGGGGGGGGGGNNGGGGGGGGGGGGTGTGGCAGCCCTGCATCATTTCTGGTAGCGCCCCGTCGGGCCCCCATCCCCCCCTCCCTTGCTGTGGAACGGATTGGGCCTTGAGCTTGCGGGTAGAATGGTTGGGTGGTTTGACACAGGCCTTCTTCCAATGCTTGTGCGTGTGATCATCCCCGCACCCCCCGGGTGCATCGGCTGGGTCTTCGAGCTTCGGAGTTTAGTCCCCCTCCCACTAACCCTGCGCACAGGCGTCGAAGGCTCTAAACCCGTGTATCTTGGGGGGATGGGGGGGGGGGGCAGAACGCACAGCGCACAACCACAGCGTTGCATATCAATCTTGAGGCCCGAGCTTCAAGCTCTAAACCTAAAGCCTCAAAGTCTAAGTCCCAAACCCCAACCCCTAAGCCTGAAACCTAAACCCCAAAACCACTTACTCCTAAACCCTAAACCCTCACCCTAAACCCTAAGCCCTAAACCCTAAGCCAAACCCTAAACCAGCATTCCTAACCCTAAACCCTAAACCCTAAACCCCAAAAGCGTAAGCCCTATGCCCTAACCCTTGGATCTGAGGAGAAGCCGTGGGCAGCTCTGGGTCAAGTTCTGCCTTGCACAGGCGAGGAAGAGGAGGCCGAGGGTTTGAGGGTTTAGGGGTTTGGGGTTTAGGGGTTTAGGGTTTAGGGGTTGAGGGTTTAGGGGTCAGCATGTTGTGCCAGCCCCAAAGACGAAGCTGCCAGTGTCACAGGTCAATGCAGGAACGGCGGAGGCCTCTGGAGGCTTCAGCCAGTCATCGCCGAAGTGGAAACCAGACGGCCGGCAGAAGAACCGGTTTTTCCTCCGATGCAGCAGTTACAGAGTCAATCAGTGCAAGGCGAAGGGCTGTTCAAGGTGGAAGTGAAGTTGAGATCTCTGACGGCCATGCATTATACAGTTAGCCTTGGCTGAGCAGGAGCCACGCGTGGAGAGCTCGGCAACAGACGAAAAAGTCCCGACATGATTTAAAGTCCGATTAGGATAACAGGTGTTACGTCCGATTGGTATGTATAAGCTTTAAAAAAGCAGTTAGTAATAGCATCGCCCCATAGTCCTTGTATAACTATGAGAATAACCTACCCCCCAAACCCTATTCCACTGATCAAGGCGCCTATATTAAGTTAGCAATTACCATTTCCATTTTCTAACCATGCACCACCAAACGATTAAACGAACAATTCCCTAATAAATTTGTTTATGAAGAAACACCAGAACCACAACCTGAGCCTGAGAAACCTAAACCCGATATTGATAAAGTATTCAATCATGTCCATCGATTACTGATGAATGATGAGTTTCTAGAATATTATTTTATGCTATTCGGCAAGCATAAGGATAGGATAATTATTGAAATTCACGTCGATAGGTCTTCAGAAAAGAATTTCTGAAGAAAAACACTTAAAGAAATAACAACTATATATATATAAAGAGGAAAATGGACTATACAGATTTAAATACATATAAAATACAAGCGAAGTACATTAAGAAGATATATGACATGCAAATAAATGAAATAGATTACTTAAATAAAATTAAGGAGTTATGTCAGTTGCGCAAAGTTTATGAAAGTGTAGTTTTTGATCAAGAAGGTGTCTTGAATGTTGCCAGTGATATACGTATGTCAGAAGGTAAAATCGAGGAAGATAGAGATTTAATAAAACAGTATTCAGTCTTAATTGAACATATTGAAATACTTTGTCAGAATGGGGGAAGCGGAGACGTTAAATATTTAGATGTGAAACCAAAACATGCTGTTAAGTGGTTGAATAAAAGTATTCAGGACATTGAAGAAGAATACAGCGAACTACTCAAGCTTAAATAATAACCCAATAATAATATTATTTTGTGGAAATAATATTATTCTTGTTTTACTACCTTATTACCTAAGCTTTATTACTAATATAGATATTTCATTAGACACTACCATTTCCATTTTCTAAGGTTAGGGATTTCGGGTTGGGAATATGGTTTTTTCTATGGAGGTTCTTCCTATAGGTCTTTTGGTGGTTACATGCTATGAATATTGTATGGTTTTTTTGGTGAGGTTAGGGTTGAGGCATAGGTTGTTCTGGTTTGGGTGCTAGGGGGTGGTGCATGGTTAGAAAATGGAAATGGTAGTTGCTAACTTATTAGGGGGCCAAGTTGAGGATTGAACTTGCTCTGTGTCGCTCTTCGCTGCTCTGCTTTGCCCCGCGTTGTGCTCTACTCCATTATTATTATTGAAGTGTAGAATGGGAAACTTCAAAATCCAGCTCTACTGTGGAGAGGGGCAGTTTGAGATGTACAGGATAGACTCTGCGAAAATGCAACTTGGAACAGTGCTCTTGACCATGCCATGCTGAGCACGCAGCGGCCCGATGAACACGAAAGCGATGAAAGCAACCTTAGCTCCCAATTGACAGATAGAGCCTGAACCCAATCCTCCGCATGTTCTTGATCAACCCAGAGCCTAAAAGCCAGAAGACTGCAAAGAGAAACACCAAGGTCTTTCCAACAAGAACTGAGTTTGTTGATAACTCTTCGTTATACACAGGAGCAGCTCTATGTTGAGGTTTGAGAGTTCTATGATCAACCAGGTGAACATTTGATCAGCGAACTTTGTTTCCATCAGCAGACAAGCCAAGATGTCCCGAATGATGCCAATCATCCTTTGCAGCTTTGATTGCTACTGTTCCGAATGTTGCTTGATCGCTTCGTGAATGCTGCCGTGTATGATGGTTAAATGTTTCAAAGATCCTCGACTAAAGTCAGGATCAAGGGACTGTGCCAAATGTCACGAGCCCAATGTACACCCGAATGTTCACGATGCATTATGAATGCTACGATGCCGAATGGCATTTGGCTCAAGACAGGACAGATCGGCTTGACGTCACAAAAGGAACGTCTGTTTGAGTGTGGTGACTGTGGGGAGAGTGATTGACCTTGGGTGCTTTGGATAGTGTAGATTGCATGGTTGAGTTTTGCATGGTAGATTGTCTGGCAGGTCCAACAGAACTGGTCGATTGGACGGTTATGCCGGTTTCTGCATTACTCGCTTTGTCCTCGAGTGTGTAGCGAAGTCGTAGTGAGGTGGACGGATGCTGAGATAATCGAACGGGTGTGTTTTCACCATTCGAAGGGACCGTATCAACATCAGGCCGACCCTCCGCGAGTCCGGATTGCGCAGTCGCATTGGGGCTGCTGTGTGTTGAGCATAGCTTGGCATTTTCCGAGTGCGTATTCATGCCTGAGTGAGACTGATAGTGTTGGCTTGAACCAGTAACATTTGGCAGATTCTCATGAATGTCTGATACTCGGGCCTGGTCTGTTTCCGATCACGCATGTTCAGCTTTTGGACCACACCTAAGCCGGCCGTCGTTTCCTTTTTCGTTCAAAGTTTCCCAAGTATCACCCACGTTACCGGTTTGAGTTGCCCACAGCATTTCTTGTGGGGTTTGGGTTCCCTTGCAATATCAAAGCTACATGTTAGTGGGATGTTGGGCTTCAAGACCTTGCACCACCGTGAACAATCAGCCAGCCACTGCCGTAGCGGTTGCCTGCAGCTGCAAGCATCTGAGCTTTTGGCACAGGTGGGAGATGCCTTGTCGCCGGAAGTGTCAACTGTGGCTTCGACGACCTCTTCAGCTGTGCAAGAGGAGGGGCCATGGGGTTTGATGGCTTGCTCCATCGCAGCAGCCAGCACACCCCATTGAAGGTAAGTGCTCTGGCTTCAGATGCGCAAGAAAGCCACATTGTCCAGTTTTTCCGGGTAGGGGCCGTGGGAGGAGCTGGCTGCTCTTCGGGCAGAGAACGAGAAGCTTCGGAGCAGGCGGCAAGCTCAGAGCAGATGCAGCCGCGAGATGAAATCATGATCATGGGCTGTGCCATGCAGGAACAGTGCGTTGGAGAAGAGCGCCCGGGACCAGGACAGCGTCCTAGAGGTGCGCAAACATAGCAGGAAGGTGTGTTTCTGGGTCTGTAGTGCCCGTCGTCATGCCTCCAGCGCCAGGCGCAGCTGCCGGAGAACCTCTTCGACAACCCCTACGAACCGCCACCTCAGGCCAGGAGCCCCGGTATCTTAGCCTCGCGAGGGTGGTCGCTGAGTGCCAGTCTGACTTCCGTGCTGAAAAGCCCATGTCAAGCGTATTCTTTTGTTACCGGCCCCTACCTGTATGTAACTATTCTGCCTGTATATAACTACCCTGAGTTAACAAAATGCAGCACAGAAGTATAATAGAAATAGATCCCAAATCCTCGGGTTCCTTGCCAAAAGCGACGCATGAGGAATGAGGCTTACCCCACTTAGATGGTCTGAGGTCTGGCACGGTGGGTGGAGTTCCGCTTCCTCTCCAACGGCCTCTACGGTTCCTTGCCCTGTTACAAGAGAGTCTGGGGCGTGGGGTTTGAGCTTTCGGATGGATTTTCGTTTTTCTTGTTTGGGATTTAGGGCAGTGGGAGGGCTCGGGTGTGGAGCTGATGATTCAGAATTTTTGCGGTTTAGGGATGGCAGCTTGAATCGATAACACAGACGTCGCCCCCCCCAAATTCATGCAACCATGCATGGAGCGCTGCGAGCGCCAAATCCGGAATCCTGCTCACTGCTCGCTCGACCTTGCCCGTCCATTTCGCTCAATTCCTTCCTTGGTCGACTTGAGAGCTTTGGACGTGAAGCCCAGAAGCCTCATCCGAAGCCTGAAAGTACCTGAAATCCTTTTCTGTGAGGTGGCCCGAAGCACTTTCAGCGGCAGCGACGGCACGCCTATGGGCTCTGGCTGCGTGACGCCCGTGCAGCTGGCGCCAGTGGGGGCTCCAAGATGCGAGGACGTCGTCATTTTTGTTTATCGTAAGCATCACGAGAATCATAGTCTGTAGAGAAAGTATCAAAATCAGGCAAGCAGTTGCTGTTAAAGTCTTTGTGACGCGTGGAGATAGATTCTGGCTGTTTGCGTTGTTCAGCGTTCGAGTTGAGGGGTGTGGGTCCAGAGTTTGGGTGATGCTTACCCCAAAATAACCAACGCCGGACATCGAGAAAACGCAACTGCAACCTGCAGGTGGGACAGGCGATCACACTGGTGCCTATGGGCCGGAAGCCCAGACATGGGCCTCAAGCGGAGTTTTGGGCATCTGGGCTCCTGGGCTTGGGACACTCTGGGTTCAGAATATAGGAACTCTTCACATCTCGCGGACAAGAAGGAGAACTCCAAATGGAGCCATTGGAGCCCTAAGCAAAAGTTCAGGGTCCAGGGTTGAGGGGTTTTGCATCCCTCCACGCTTGAGCTCCGAAGCACGAAATCCCATGTCTCAGGTTGGTTTGCGATGGGTGACCGTGGGCTCATTCCCTGCGGCCTTGTGCAGCAGGCAGGGAGGTGACATCAGAAAGACCTTCCCAGGGTGCACGGTTTAAGGTTTAGACAGAGCTTATTACTAGTAATATCATGGTTTGCCTGGGCCTTGCTGGGGGTTTAGTTGAGGTTTAAGGAGTCGGGGTGGTTTCGGAGTGTGGCCTCGAGAACAAGTTCGAGGGCGCAGAGCGCGACAGCCTCCCATGCCCGATAACACAATTGGCTCCCGAAGCCCCAAACCCCCAATCTACCCAAAGCCTAAACCCCAAACCCCAAACCCTAAAACCTAAACCCTAAACCCTAAGCTCAACTCCCGAAGCCTTGAATCCCAAAAGCTTCTCTCATTTGGCAGGCTCGCGCCGTCTTCGAGCAACACACGGCCATCCCGAATTGGTTCATGCAGCAGTGACCAGGCCGCGGGCCTGGAAAGGGTGCCTCACTAATTAAAGTACTTTAGGGGCCTAAATAATTGCCTATACTATTCTGGGTTTTTTTATTATAACTATGGTATAACGGGCCCCAAAACCCCATTCTAATTACTAAGGCCCCTATAGTAGGGTTTTTGAGACATACTTTAAAATATTTATGGAATAAGGCTTTGGGGGGTATATACGATAGTTCTAGAACAAGAGCTCGGGGTGCATGTTGTTACAATTGCAGAACAGGTTTTTAGGGCATTTTATGCTATAGTCCTAGAAGGATTATGAGGGCCCCTTATACCCTAAACCCTTATTAAGGGGACATCATCATTGATTGAAGACCGAAGCACCCCAGCTAGAGCTCCCGGGACGCAGAGAAGCCTGAGCCGGAAGCCTCGTCAGCTGAATCCTCGACCCTCATACCAGTGCTACTACTATTACTATGATTATGATGATGATCAGGGTTTTAGGGCCTAGGGTTTAGAGGTCAGACCTGTCATCGTTGATGTTTTCGAAACCGCGTGCTGCCCCGGAACCCGGAACTCGAACGAAGGTGAGGCAGCCGCCCTCACAGAAACGACGAAGGCCGGAGCCTGACTGGTCAAGGTGAGGACTTAGAGAGCTTTGGGCCCTTGCCGAGCGAGTGCTAATGTAAGCGTCTTACATGTTCCCTAAACCCTAAACCCTAAACCCCTAAACCCTAAACCCTAAACCCTAAACCTTGCTCATCCTCCGGACCTTACACCCAGTACTTGCACCACGTGTGGATGGATTCGGCTCGTGGCATGCAGACCTGGTGTCGAAGCTGCCGAGGCATTCTGCGTCTGCATTGTGAAGACCTGAATCTTTAGAGCTGATAGGTAGCGCTCCAAGCCTCGCAAGTCAGAAGCCGCATCTGAAGGGATTTTCAGTTGTTTTTCCCCCATGGGCTGACTGCGAGGGTTGGTAATGGTACTTGGCTGATGCTTTGCCTGATGGCTGGACCTCAGAAAGAAGGATGTTCTGACCAGCCTTCTCTGCCCATGCACGCTGTTGCTTGTACAGCACCGGGGTCCATCCAGTAATTCGCATCTTTGGGGGATCAGTAGCCATTGTACAGTTCCTGTAGGGGTCTTTCGCCTTTGAACGCCCACAGCCGCCTCAGTTCTCTGACATCTCACCACGGTGATGCGTTCTCACAGCGCCAGACCCAGCCTCAGCTTTCGGATGGCTCAAGTGGGTGGTTGTCAAAATTATGGTCCCTTTTTGGGTCCTTATTATAATACGGCACCTATTATTTAAGGTACCCCAAAAGGGACCATAATTTTGACAACTACTCACTTGTCTGGGGTCTTCTGCATGTTCTTGAGCTCCCTTGCGCTGGCGACTAAGGAGATGGTGCATATTGAGCAAAGCATCGTGGCCTCAAAGGGCAGCGCATGTGCTGCTTGCGTATGGTGCCAGCCAGCGCCTGGACAGATCATTTCCCCTGTCCCAGGTCCCCTGCTATGGAGGTTTTTAGTCAGCCATTTTTTTTGCAACGGCTTGTTGTATGGACCTGGGCGCACGAAGTGGTTGAAGCCGGCTGGTCGCACTGTAGGCGTGGAGAGTTGTCGTACAGAACTTGAAATCCTGGCAACTGGCTGCGTGCACAAAGTGCATCAGCTTGATCCATCTAGGAGGCGTCTGCTAAAAACACCCGCAGCCTGTGGGTTGCAACGAGTTAGTGATTCGCCATTGTTGCAGTTTGCTTGATGCCACATGCCGAATTGATTGCACCCAAAACCTTAAGCCTTAATATTCCCCAGCTATTTGCCCCTAGAGACGTGGGATTCTTCAGGTTTCGGCTGGTAGACTCTAGGGGTTTGCGCCCGGCAGCCTCTCTGCTTTCAGTCCTCTTGTCTGGATTTGCTCGGGATGCTCTGCGCGCTTCAGTCTCTGAGATCTGCTAGTAGCAGCATGAGTGCTTTAATGTTTTGGTGGGCTATGGGGGTTTGCCGATTGGATCGTGCATGGAGCAGGCCGAGCGAACTTAGGACGTAAGTAAGGTTGATGGATGGAGTTCTGCCGGTGTTGTTTTGGTCTTATGCTTCTGTGCGCTGCCAGTTTGCTCAGATCAATCAGATCCCTCCAGATCCACCAGTGTTTCGCCATGCTGACTGCACGGGCGCTTCTGATCTTCCTGCCCCTCCTTAGGGCGCCTTGGGAGTTTTTCAGAATTCAGCACGAATTTTCACTTCTTCCTTTGCTGAGTTCTCCAATACCCACTACCCAATCTTCAAGCTTCGTCGGGTCTCATGGTTCGATGCTGCTCCGAAACTTTCCGTGGAAAATCTAACTCGGGAGCACACAAAGCAAAACAACAAACACCCACCGCCCAGACCGCCACAAAACGCAACCAGGAACTGATCCCATTAGCCTGCGACACTGAGCCAACTGCAAGAGCACAGGTACAGTCGCAGCTGCAGTATGGGAATCGCTCGACATTGGAAAAGCTGGCAAGGGAAGCCGAGGTGGACAACATGTCATATTATATTCGGTTATACGTTATGTCATGTTACATTACATTAGATTATACGTTATATCACATTCTATCATATTATACGATACTTTCTTACAGTATATCATAGGTACGTAATTATAAGGGATCTCGTCAGGAGTTAGGGGGGCGTCGGAGCCTGGCCGTTGAGTTCCCAGAGAGCCCAATACCACTCAATCCAGGAATATATGCCTTAAGCCGAATATTAGCCCTTAGGTATCGTCCTTAATTACGGGGGTATCTCATAGAGAATGTTTACAGTAGAATCTACAGTAGATTATCTTGGACCTTATATCCCAAAATGAGACTTAGAGGGGCTTCTTATCATCTACTGTAGATTCTACTGTATCTATCCTTGATGAGTATCGGGATCTCTGGGTCTCTCAGTTTAGGCTATGGCCCTGACCAGGAGCATGCGGGACCCGATGAGAAGGCACGCGAGCGGCGGGTTCCGAGTTGCTGGAGTTCTGGTTAATCTAGGGGCCTTAATAATTGGAATAGGGCTTGGGGGTATATTATACTATAGTTATAATAAGGAACCCCCAAACCCTATTAAAATTATTAAGGCCCCCACATTAGGTCAGTGCTGCCTGGCAGGGTGGCTCTTCGTCGATTAGGAGGCTCAAGTGTAGGGAATGAATTGTGGGGAGAAGCAGAGGAATGGGACATGTGTGACAATCAGAATTACAGGGTGATCACAAAGCCGTGTCTCTGTGCCGGCTTTCAGAGATCATTGTTTGACTGCTTGCGGAAGGACAGCTTGGTGTACTGTTGCAGACGGGACATGGAAGTTCCCTCATCGATTCGGGAGAGATCTGCACGACACACAGGCCATCATCTCCATCTCCTGATTCATCTGCACTACATGGGCTAGAGAACCTAGACAGAAACTCTCGCGAACCCAGGCAGTCCTTAGCCTGTGCCGGTTCAGCCCAGACTCTGCAGGTTAGCGAGGGATTCACGAACCCCGGTCTTTGCGTCGGGACCCTACCGAGCGAATGCCACAGATGTCGAGACGATGTCAGGGACTTTGGCAGCTGAGGACTCCAGTGTGAAGCAGACGGCAGGCTACATTTCAGTGAACCCGATCACGAACTATTTCTTCTGGCTTTTCGAGGCGAAGCAGACACTCGCCTCAATGGCCAAGGTGGTGGAGTGGGCGGGGCATCTCCGAACTTCAAAGCTTCCTATTCGTCAATGCCTCACTGTGCTATGTTACGCACAACTGCTACTGCTACTCCTCTACACGACGACGACTGAGCATACGACGAGCGCAAAACTAGTAGGTATCACACTAGGAACCTTCTGACCGCGAGGATCCAGCACTCAACCATGATGATAGAGTTGTTGTCCGTGTCGAGCTAGCAAAGCCCAAGGAACCCGGAATCAGCGCCGTTGCTGATGTGGTGCCTTGGCAGTTGTGGTTCTGGACAGGGCAGGGGCTGGGGTTTTGGGGGTCAGGGCTTAGGGCTTGTTTGTCCAGTTCTTTGTGGTGTCTGGCATTTTGCCATGCCTGCAACAGCTGTGCTGCAGCATCTCAGCAGTCAAAACCCTAAACCCTAAACCCTAAACATAGACCCTAAACCCTAAACCCTAAACATAAACCCTAAACCCTAAACCCTAAACCCTAAACCCTACACCCTAAAGTCCGAAGCCCTAAGTTCAGATGCAGAGTGTTTTCACTGGGCACCGTCAGCAAACCCACACAAGACGGCGGTGAGGCTGTCTGGCGGCCCCGGCTGCTCCTCCCAGCTGGCCCTGCTTCTGGGTTCAACACTATTTATATTTTTCAGTATTAACTAACTAACTAACTAAATAAATAAATAAATAAATAAGTAAATAAATAAATGAGTAAATAGATAAATAAATAAATAAATAAATAAATATATATATATATATATATAATGAACTCTTAATTCAGTATATTCTAATATCTATCTATCTATCTATCTATCTATCTATGTATGTACGTATGTATGTATGTATGTATGTATGTATGTATGTATATATATATATATATACACATACATGCTGGCCTTCAGGATGGTTGAGGGCTTCAGGGGCGGGTTTGAGGTTTCCGGCCATCGGGGGCTCCGGTCGAGTTCAGGTTCACGGGGGCCAGAGCCTTGCCGACGAAACGGTCAAGCTTGGGGCAGGGTTTAGGGTTCAGGGTTTGGGGTTTGGGGTTTAGGGGGCAGCACGAGGCGCGGGACGAGGATGCGAGGCTTCTTTGGGATGGTTGCTGTAAGAGCATGAGAGTGTTGCTTCGGGATGCTGGCTCTGGTCATCAGAGAGACGACGACAGCCACACTCAGCAGTATGAAAATGTTCAGAGCCAGAAAAAGTGCACCGTCATTGAGTGGATGCTACGCCATGCTAGTCTAAGCCTGAAGCCCTGAATCCCGAAAGCGAAACCACTAAGACTAACCCTAAACTGGTCTCGCCAAGGTTCGCAGAGAACGGACCCTGCAAGGTGGCAAAGAACGGAGTCTTGGTGCATCCTTAGACAGTTTGGGATGCAAGAGCCTAGATTCTAGATGCTGTTGCGTTTAGGCTGTGCTTTTGTCCCGGGTCTTCATGAAGCTTCCTGGAGCTCGGGCGCCATGGGCATGGGAAATTCGTGGTTTTGGGGTTGGAGCTCTCGTGGCTCTGCAGGCAGTCCCACTGCATGCCGACCATCTGAGGCGAGAAGACCTACGCGAATCCGTCGTCTTGGCATAACGCAGCCAACGAAGCTTGGCTTCAACCTGGCTATTAGTAGGGTTTGATGTCAGCCCCTGCCAGCTGTCTGTCGCTCAGTGTTAGCATCGATGACCGTCAACCGTCCTGGTGTCACTGTATGTTGGGTCGCTCGTTCACCGAAAATGGTGATGTCGTGCTGTGCCCTCGAGGTGATGTGGGTCGACCAGCCTGCCGGTGTTGGATTCTCTACCGGTATTGGCACCCACGACGAGAAGGGAGTTGCAGAAAATATGTACGTGCCCGTTGGCTGCCAACAGAGTGTTCTGCACATTTTTGACAATTTGCGATGCTACATTCGCGCGCGATGTCTCAATCTTTTGACATCTGCTGATGTTCTCCATGTCCAGACGAATAGTTCAAGCGACGTGAAGAGAGTACAGCCGAATCTCGGCATGGTCACGCAGCCCGTGCTCTGAGGTTCTTGCAGAAGTTCTTCCAGCAGTTCCCACAGTACCAGAAGACCAACTTCTTCGTGTTCGGAGAGTCCTATGCAGGAGAAGCATGTCACTCTAACCCCTCAACCCTCAGAGCGGCTTTCTCGCTCCTTATGGTACTCCGTGCCCATTCTAGGACACTATGTGCCGGCTATTTCCCATCGAATCTGGAGCGGCAACAAGGCTCGGACCATAAACTCCAAAAGCCTCAACTCATGGCTGCCCTCCCCCAAGACGGCTGTGTTGCGAATCGGAGGCCAACGAGGGACTGCACATTCCCCTGAAGGGCCTGGCCATCGGTGCATTCCTCAGATCGGCTGCGTGCTTCATGTAGTACTCCATAGTTTGCGGGGTCCTAGGACCCTGCTCGAAGCTGTTTTCGCATGTCTGAATTGCCGGTGTCATTCTGGCACGTGCCGCTGGGAAGGCAATGGACTGACTGACCCTCTGGAGCAGTACAAGCGGCTTGACAAATGGGGGTTTCCGAAAGTGGGGGACCTGAAGATAGTACCCTAAATAGTAGGATCCTTACTATAAGGACCCCAGAATAAGGCACCCCTTGTTTTCGGAAACTCCAAAATGAGATGGGCCGCTCCATTTCTTGGCTGCGCGTTGCAACTCTGAAGCCAGCTGTCCCGATAGCCGAGCGTTAAGATGCAACGCATTCTAAAACCCTACACATCCCTACACCATTCCCTCATGAAGCCTGCTTGAGTTCAACTAGGTGTCAATGCTCTGGTAGCAGCAGGGTCCGTCCGATTCCTGTCAGCACGTTTCTCTCCGTGCTTCGAATGTGTCCTGCGAAGTCGGGGTGCGTCCGATGTGGCTTTCGTACTGATTCATTAGGCCAGGTGGGACCTAAGCCGTGAGAATGCACTTCCCAGCCTGCGCCTTTCTTCATGTGCCTCGGAGCAACAGGTGGTACCCTGAGATGGGCCACTTCGGTGGACAGCAGGAGGGAGGGCATGCGCCTGCAAATGTGATCAGCAAGGGCGACTACTACATCATGAGCTTTTGCCAAATTGGACTTTTTGGTGCTGTTTTTTTTGTTTTTTCTCGGTCTCGCCTGTGAAGAAGAAGATGATGACGATAGTTATGATGATGCTGGGTTACCAACCCTGTTGAAATTAGGTATGAAGATAGTCCTGAACGATGCTGTCACGAGTGCCAGTATTAGCACCTGTCTCGTGGCGGGATAGGGGTTAAAAAAAATTAA